GTCTGTATGAGGTTTATACTGGTAGATATGGTTCCATATGGACCGACATAGAATCTCAGAACCTATACCAGAATAATTCCGAAAAGGTTTTGTATGGTTTTTGTATAGGTGGGATACAAGTCCGATAGGTTCGGCATAGTTCCTATAAAAGGCTCAGAAGTGAGTCACTTTCTAGGCGTCAGTGACCATCCCGCGGACTGGCATGCCCTCAAATGAAGCCCGCCGGCAACCGCCGAGCGCGGCCGGCGCAACTGAACTGCCGCGGCCGCCGCGCTGTCGCGGCCACGTCGCGGCGCCCGGCAAATTCCCGGCGGCCACCGTACGTTGTGCAAGGCGCGGCCGCCTGAGCCTCCTGCGCGGGCGCGCCGAAAATTAACGGTCTGGACCGAGTGCGCCGGGGTTCAGAACGGTACATACCAGTCGTGAACCAAGTCTACGTGGAGACATCTACGGCTACCCGGGGAAAATCGAAGGCAGCGATCAGCCGGCAAATTCAAAAGTTGTCCAGAGTGACTGACGCAGACTGCAGTCTCCAAGCCTTCATTCCACTCTCTTCCCTCAAGCACCAGAGTGCAGCAACGAAGGCGGCTGGCCTCTGGCCTACCCCTGCATGGCTGCCTTTACTCAGCTACCGGGGCAACCAGCACAAGCTGCGGATGTCTGCCTTTGAAGATTTTCTTGAGAGTCAGATTGGTGACAAAGCATGCAAGGTGGGGGGTCCGGGACCTGTCAACTGGCGCAAGCAGACATGCCAACCCAAGATTAGGTAAGATGCCCTTGAACTGAGTGGAAAGAGAGAGGAGTGGGTAGTGATGCTTGCACTTCTGTTAATAAGCTCTGATATCCTTCCGAGACACCCGTTGCTCTATCTCAGTGTGCTTAGAGTTTATCATGTGGCGGGCGGTTAGACCAGCGATCCAAGTGACAACACGTTACCGTCCAGCATATTGTTTTGCAGCTGTTTCTGCTACCTGGCAGGCATGTGATACTTAATTATTCAGAGGCCATTATGGCAGCATCTGCGCGCTGCTTGATTGTAGCGCTTACAGTATGCTTTGAAAGACAAACCAGAAGCTTTCTGGCAGTGTGCAGGTCAGAGTACGTTTACACTTGAACCAAAGCAGTGAAAGCTGCGGATGAATCAAAGGAGCAACCGCAGTGCATGTTTGTGCAACAAATCATACGACGGGTCCTAAAGCAAAGTGCTGAAACAAGCTTGTGGTTTGTTGCATTTATTAGCAGGGCGTAGCTGCAATTTTTATTTGGCCCTCGGAGCAGTCCTCTCCTCTTTATCAATTGGTTGGTCAGCTGAGCATCGTCCGATGTTGTTGAAGAGCTGCTCGCAGGATCAAACTATCTGCATAGTCTTCTAAGACAAGCAAGAGAGTTCAACAGCAAGCTCCGCTGATCCATTGTGCAATCTGCAGTTCACATTACCAGGTTGGGTCCATCAATGTTTCTGGCTTTTGATGACCAAGATTTTGTGCAGGTCTGCCGGCGGAAGTTTTGCAGGAGAGGGCTCTCGCTTCGAGGGGGTCAGCAGAATACTGTGAATGGTTGCCGAAGTTCCGAAAGTAAGTCACAAACATTGAACGTACATATATGGATCTGCTTGACTTCAACTGTGGTTGCAATCAGCTCAAGATTAGGCAACCATGATAGAGTGAAGAAGGGAACTTATCAGTGGCTCTTTGTGCCTCCGCTCTAGCTTGTTGTCAGTCAAAGTATTTAAATAGCCAGTACAGAACTGAAAGATGATGCACAGCAGGTGAACTGGCGGGGGCTGATTGGCAGTCTGTTGGTGCTTCTAAGCACCCCAGTCTTGTTGCGATTTATCGACCGAAACTGCATAAATACCAGGTGTCCTATATGGTCCTTGAATAGAATCTTGCATAGTTCCTTCATTATAACCATATGGAACCGATTGGAACCCGTTCAGAAACTTGATGGGCCCCGGGCAAACTCACACATATAGAGCATGTATAGACCCCGTATAGTTTTTACACGGGATCTGTATGCTTCCTATATGCCTAGCCATATAAGTTCTATAGAGATTTTTTCCCTATATGGACCCGTATAGTTCTCAACGCAGGTTCTCTTCCCGTGCCGATTTCATATAGGTTTCGTATGAACCTATACAATTTTCTATGGGATCCATATTGGATGAACTTTTGTGATTAGTATATATGGGTTGCCGTGACTAAATGTGCGCACGGATTGCATGCCTCGTCTTCTTGCATATTCTTCTGCAGGTGGTGACTTATTCACCGACTCCACAATGATAACAAGCACAACCAAGTCTTCAGCAAGCAGCCGGTCCTCTGACTTAGCCCGTAGTCAACTTCCCTAGCGAACCCCACTGATTACGAGTGGAGGAAAAGTTTTGCTTATGACTTTGTCAGCCCGGTTGTGACTTCTTCTGAAGCAGCCCTATAGACCATGGGTTGGAGGCCCCCTTCCTCCCCTCCCGTTGACGCGATTAGTGTTGATTCTTAGCGATTCAACTTCAGATATACATTGAGATTACATAACCATCTAGACAAAAAGTTGATACTATAAGTAACCTTATGTATTGACGCCGTTGTTATTGCTAGGATTCGAACGCTTGATCGTTAGGTGAGGACCCGTAGATAAATCCGTCCAATCAAATGTACACTATTTCTTTGCCCTCTGGGCCATACCGAAAGAAACCATAACATGGAACCAAATCAACAATAACAGTGGTTCGTAAATCCTCCTGGCTCCGAGTCATTGCTTCGCATTGCAGGACGCCATGCTCAGGCTGGCAGGTAGCAGGCTGGGCCCAAACCCACCCATGCAGGCTGCAGGTGGAGGTGAGGCCGCCACCAGTGACGTCACTTCTAGCGGCCTAGCCGCGTCATGGTGGCCGAACTACAGAAAATTATGGTCAACGAGGTCTACCGTCCTGGCAATGGATTTCCGACGCGGATTCCGCGGCGGAGCCCAGCGGAACTGCCGATGTCAGTGATGGCTGGCTGGGGGGCTGCGCCACGTGTCGCCTTCATCTAGACCAGCGTCTAGGAGCTGACGGGGCAGGCAACCCGCGCCTCACGGCGCTCGCGCTCACCGGGGATCCCGCAAAGCTCGGCTGCGGGGCCTTTAGAGAGCTGCTGGGCGGAGTCAGCGCTCTGCGCACGTTGGTCCTGGCGCGAGATCCGTGGGTGACGGATGCGCACCTGGCAGAGGTTCCGCGGCTCTCGCTGCTCGAGGCGCTGCAGCTGGCTGACTGCTGCGGGATTACGGCACGGGGAGTTGCAGCGGTGGTTTGTGCCAGCCCGCACCTGACCTTTCTGAGCGTGCCGCGGTGCCGCGACCTTTCATTAGATGCTCCTTTTAGGGACGCGGTGGTGAGCAGCCCCAGCCTCGCCTGGCTGGATGTGACGGGGCTGTCAGACAGGGCCCCCCGGTGGGTAGACGAGGTGTGCGCGGACACGCAGATGGGGTTACTCAGGCTCCTGTTGTACATGAGCTCGTGAAAGTTGGAGTCGAGTTCGGGGCTGGATAGGTAGACATAGGTGTCGCCAAATAAGTTGCAGTAGAAGGGCGAGGAGATGCCGCCGCTGTAGGTAGGGTCGTCCGGATCCACGCCGGTGTTGGTATACTCGTTGCTCCAGTCCGTTGTGCCCTCTCCAAAGCCGAGCAGTCCAGAACACGAGTTGGATCCAAAGGAGAGCCGGAAGCGGCTCAAGGTGCTAGGTGCAACCTGGAAGAGGAACTTCCCCCTGACAGGCAGAAACTGTACGTCGTACGCAGGCACTGCGGCCTTGGCGTTCATCATTCTTAGAATCTCAAAAGCCAGCGTCGGCCCGTCGTAGTGGCCCGTGGGGATCGAGAAGGAGAGAGTATGGTCCTCCCCATCGTCTCTGGTCTCTGTCCACTCGAATACCTGATTTGATGGCGACACGACGAATTGCACATTGGGAAACTCTACGGAGAGAAGGTCGCATGACACTACGTTTGTGAGCGGACTCCTCAGATACACCTTGAAGTGGTTTGGCTGTGGGTAGATGGAGGGGTCCCGCTGTTTGGAATCGACCACGATCGTGTGTTCCACGTCGTCTGCGGCATTATTGACTTCAAAGTGCTTCTTCTGGTCGTTCACGTAGAAGCGGTCCTCGCCCAGCGCCTGGCTGCTGGAGTGTGCATCACTGCTGTCAAAACGGTGGAATGGGTTCCTCTGCATCCTTGCTTTCTTGGAGCCCCTGATAAAATATCGCTGGAAGGAAACGAAGAGCAACAACTTGTTGCAGTTCACAAGAACTTTCTATGAGGGGTATAGCATGCACCATTCATGGTTTCCAAAATCTACATAATCATGCGCAACACGGATGTTCGGGTCGAGTCCGATGGAAATGATGGGATCGTCAGGTTGTGCTCCACCCTCGACGGGGCCCTCGTGGAGATGTACAAGTTGGATTCCTGGAATAGACTGCGCCAGTATGATGCCACGAGGAGGCTCGAAACCGTTCTCACCGCAGAGCCGTCTTATTGGGTACAGGTGCACGCGGTCGATACTGAGGAGGGCATGCTCAAGGTTCATGTTCCAAAGTATGGAATCGAGCGGTACTTTTGTCATGCAGACATCGAGTTAGCCCTTTGTAGGATGGACGACTTGGTGGAGTCAGCCCTGTCCCATACCGGACAAGATGGAAAGCTAGGAACTGGAGAGAATGCATGAAACATTAAAATCAGCGGTCATTACCCTAGTGGAACATGTGGCGATGTGCATCTGGCGGTCGAAAATGTGAAGAATGTAGTCAGCTCACTCAGCAACTCACCGAGGCGCGGGCTTCGCTGGTGTTGCAGAATAACGTGCAGGGAAGTCACGAAGACAACAGAGACAGGCACATGGAGAGCATGGGCAGGCGCCTTAGACGACCTGCGGAGACGATTTTGGATGTGTGTGACGGTCTGGTACGAGACGGCACGTTGTCTGAGGATGTTTGCAATCACGTTTCCTATATTGCTCAGATGGCGTCGCAAATGTTGATGGGAATCAGGACGTCCGGAGCAACTTTTGGTTCGACGAGAATATGCACGGAGAACGTTGCTTTCGACCTCACGGAGACGCTGAACCTTGCTATAGACACCGTTTCCCAGAAATTTCGGGGGAAGGTGATCGACTTCCCAAAGATGATCGACGACACGATACCGGTCACACTGGGAGGAGACGTTGGCGGGCTGAAGCAGTGCCTGTCGTACATTCTGGAGACTCTCCTTGGGATGGCATCACATTCGGACCGGGTGACGATAAGTGCAATCCGAACGAATCGTCGCCCCCTCCACGAAGGGGCTCGGGACAGGTATGTGTCATGCTTATGCAGCTTCCGAGTGGGGTCTGCCGACAATGACGAGATGGTGGATGTGAACGATGCCAATGAGCCCAGCGACCTCATTTATGGCCACCTGGCCATGCAGTTGGGGGGCCGCATACTGAGGTCCAAAACTTACAGGGCCTTCGACCTGCTCCTCAAGTTCAGGAAGACCCTGAGCACTGATGGCGCTAAGGTACCGACCGAGCAGATTGCCCGAAAGTATCTGGTGTACGAGGGCAATGCTATCCTGCTCAAGACATTCGAGCACGTGCTGACCTCACGCGACGATGTAGTGGACACCATGAAGGATCTGAACGATCTCGTACAGCTCGCATCGTCCGTGGACCTGCGCAAGGTCTATGAGTGCTTTATAGTGGACGACAACGAGGTGGGCAGCGCAATGGTGGAGGCGGTGAGAGCCATAGAGGCCACTTCGGGGACAGAGCGCCTGCCCGTCCTCCTCTCGGTGCCCCACTATGGGAGCGGAGAGCAGCGAAGGGTGGGCAGAGGGGATATAGACGACTACGTCATGAAACCCTGCTCAGGGGAGGCCATCCTCAAGCGGATACGGAGTCTTTCGATAAACACTAACGCTCAATTGGCCCCTTCAGGAAGGCAAAATTGACGGGCGCCGCGATGAGGTCCCCCATGGTCTTGTGGTCGGTATCTGTGTTGGTGAAGTAGGGCATCTCAAGGATACTTGACGCAGTTGGCCTGTTTTCTTCTGCACTCAGACATGCTTTGATGAGGGCCTTCATGTTTGCATTCTTAACGAGCTCGAGCTCTTCGGGAAGACTGCCCCCGAGGACAGCCATGTATATGTGGGTCACGGTCCGCCACTTGCTGTACGGTTTTCGAAGCGTTGCCAGCTCTATGAGCACCATGCCAAAAGCGTAGATGTCTGCCTTGAACGAATAGTTGCCGTCCAGCACCTCTGGGGCCATGAACTCAGGCGTACCGATCACCGAAGCCGACCTAGAACGGCTCAGCACGGTCGCATACCCCAAGTCCCCCACAGCCACGTCTCCTGTGTAGTTGTTCACAAAGACGTTGGCGCACTTCAGGTCCCGGTGCACGATCGGCTCGCTTCCTGTATCGTGAAGATATGCCAGAGCATTGCAGATCTGGCGCGCCCACTTTCGTATCACAGCCGGTTCCTGCCTGCCGTGGAGTTTTACGTAGGCGTCCAGTGACCCTGCATATAGGTCTGTGATGAGGTGCAAGGTGCTGGTCTTGGCATCCACCCAGGAAGCGGAGAGCTTGACTATATGAGGGTGGTCGACCTCTTTCATGATCTCGACCTCTCTCATTGCCCCACTCATGCCATCCATATCCAGCGATTGTAGCTCCACCTTGCTCCAAGCTACCTCCTTCCCCTCCGCGCGATCGAACGCCCTGTAGACGGTCTTGCATGCCCCGGAGCCCAGCGTCTCCGATGTGCAGATGAAGCGGTTGCTAGGGTCCTTGCAGGTGTGCTTATCCATTTAAGAGTTACATATTGGTCTAGAAATGAATTGACGAGGACTGTGGCCCGCAGCGTTTTCCGTTGCTTAATGCAAGACAAGAACCATGGTGTCCAGCACGCTGAACGACAAGTTCTTGCTCCCGGTATCCGGCGACGAGTTCAGTTTTATGGAGGCCCCGTGGAACGAGAAGCTCACAGGGGGCAACTGCTACAGCCTTGCAATGGGTTTTTACAATGCAGCAGCTACCTCAAAGCCCCAGCCGGGCGACGTAGCAATGGTCTACAGAGACATGCACGAGAGGTTCCAGCTGCTGGAACCCCTGGACGTGAGGGACTGCAACGCCCTGCGGAAACGGATTCTTGCGGACGGGATGGCTATGAAGCGAATTCTGCTCAAGAGCAGGGACGGGCAGGCTTTTGATCACCTGGAGAGCGTGGTGAGAGTGGCGAAGATGGATGCCAAGCCTCCGCGGGGAACGTACAAGATAATGACGGTAGTCGACCCCGGCAACGACTTTCATTTCTTCCGGCAGGACGTGATGGACCTCTACAACATCTACACTTGCAAGATGTACTTCTACATGAAGGACAAGACTCTCTCTGCGGAACCAAATGCATATCAGGTGCTGAACATCGACCCGTTCAGCAGGAACGTTGCCGCCATGTATGATCAGAACAACCAGTACTCCGACCAGAAGAAGGACGCTTTCAAGAAGCTGACTAATCTACTGGGCCCGATCATGGACGGGCAGGAGGCCGATCTCAACCGAGCCATCACCAACGTGTGCATCCACGTGCGCAGACTGCCTGCTTACGTCATACAGGAGGGGAACTTCATTGTGGATCCCTTCTGGATGCTCGACGAGACGGACGTGAAGGACGACGCGAGTGCGCCCATCAGGCTCCACCAGAAGGCTGACAAGCTCTTTCAGTTCTTTGGTTCTAAAGGAAAGCCACTGCATGCGGCGACGGTCCAGCAAGCGCTCCAAGACAGCCTGAGGATTTCCCGCGACTCCAAGCTGGCGCCCCAGAAGCACCAGCTGATCGGCACGTGGAGTCAGAAGCTTGGATTCGCCACTCCGGCTATCAATTGTGACGCTAATCGGAAGCTGATATTCGATCCTCGCAGGGCTGCCAGGAAGTTTGGGGACGACGGGCTCGCCTACAAGAGCGTCTGCAACTCGTTCTTCGTAGAGAAGAACCACGGCATTGCCGGGGTACCCCAGGGTCTCAAAGACTTTGGGTTGTGAGCACACGACGTTTTTTCTGAGCTACAACTTAAAATGAACACTACCGACACGGAATGGTCGAGGTTCCTGCAGATGGCAAATGAGGGGGACGGCTTCGCGGTCGACCATCTCGTAGAGGGGAAGCTGCGGGGATGCTTGCCGAGCCTCGTGGAGGATTCCTTCGTCGATCAATGCCACATTTACTGGACACGTGATTCCCCCTACACGGAAGAGTCCAAGATCTCCGCCTCAATCCACGACATCGGGGAAGCGACAGAGTGCCGGGACGGGGGTGCTGTGCGAATGGACTTCCGTGTAGTGGACGAAGCTTCCATGCGGAGGCTGATTGGAATTGGGATAGACGGCAACTTCGAGGTGAGCGTCACGTTCCATCCGAACAGCGACAAGAAGATAAGGGCAGAGCTCAGGGAGGAGGCAGCCAGCAGAGACGACCTTCCTCTCCTGGACAGGGTCCGGGGATGGGAGGCCATTGGGTTCAAGATGGTGCGGGAGTGGACACAGAAGCGAAAGGTCTCGTCTGCCAGGACGATCGGGGCGTTCGTACCTCCGACCGAGGATTTCATGCGCGGCAGCAGGGCGGTGTCCTACACAATCATTCTTCTACCGCGCCTGATGCATGGAAAGACGATTAAGGGTGTGAAGAAGGGTAATGTGGAGAGCAAGGTGGTATTCGGGCTGCGGGAGGACCCCGACGCGGAGAACACAAAGTTGCACGTGATGAGACTGCAGCTCTTTTCGGACTTCGTCCCGACTTTAGACAGGAGAATGGCAAACGAGAACTGCACGATCCGTACAAACATGAAAATCCAAACGGGCAGCCATGGCGCATATGTTGACGGCAACTGTGAGAAGTCCGATGCATCCAGCGTGGTGTATATGCACGGAAACTTTGGCTCACCCAAGTTCGACTGTGGCCAGACCTCCTCCATGTCTGTGAGGGCAAACCCTCAGTCATCCTTCTCCTGCAACACACTTTGGATGCTCACCCCGGGGGTGACCGAGCGGGTCACCATCGGCATCGAGCATGAGATGGGGGACGAATGTGAAGGTGAGAAGAAGGTGGTCACGCGTGGAAAGATGCTGAGGTGGCTCTGGGACACACCCAAGCCATCCGCGTGTGTTAAGAGCATGCACATAAACATGGACGGAAACTTTTCATTCATGGATGACTTGGAGAGATGGGGGCTGCTGCGCAGGGTCCGGAACAGAAACAAGAGCTGGAAGTTGGACGAGGAAAGCAAGATTAACGCCAGGAAGGCGAGCATCGTGGCGTCCGCCAGGTTTTGAATACGAGAGCCACGGATGAGACAACACCTCGTCGGCAGAGAGGCGTGTCTGTTCGTTTCTGTCCAGAAGCACCTTCAGAAAATCTCTAGCCTCAACACTAAGATCCATTTCGTCGATGAGCAGCGACCGGTTGAGGACCGACATGAAGATCTCAGTTTCGTTTCGCCCGAAGAATGGTCTGTGCCCCATAAGCAGCATGAATGTTACCACTCCAATGCTCCAAGTATCCGCCTTTGTTCCGTAATTCTTGTTCAGGACCTCAGGAGCCACAAAGTCTGCGGCACTACTGCCGCCTTTACAAGCCCCGTTCCAAGGATACTTTAACTTCCTCATGAATCGAACATACTGGGGAACGGATGTACCCCAGTTGTTTTCGACCCACAGCGGCGTATGCTCTGGCAGGATATCAGCGAGGTATTGCCGAATCGCGGTTCTCACCACAGGGCGCGAGGCCTGTGATATACTGGTGGCCATCGACTGGCGTTTCAATGCAGCAGTCAAAAAAAAATAACTCGCCCAAGCTGGACTCCATATGGAATCTAGCTTGGAGGGGCTCCGTTTCAAGCATTTTCAAAGTGAAGACCTATGCAGCAATACTCAGTATCAGATCATGCAGTTCCGCAGCTACGTCACTCCATCTTAGTTCAGCAATCTCCGCCCTTGCCTTTAGTCCGTGCTCCTCTCGGAGAGCTGGATTATCGTAGTAATGCAGAATCGCATCCGCCACCTCGTCGGGATCGAGAAGGCTCACCTCTCCGCCCGTGACTTCGCTTGTCTGGTCGGCATATATATAGAGCTTGGGTTTGACGAGGATAGAGTTGGATTCGTTCAAGAACTCCGTCATGCCGCCAATGGCACCTGCGATCTGCGGCTTGCCCACTCCCGCATGCTCTAACTGATTGAGGCCGACGCCCTCACCGCTGGCTGTGTTGAGGCCCACATCGGTCTGGTTGTATAGCATGTTCACTTCTTCGTCCGTCATTTTACCAGCGTTGTTGACCGTTGCAAATCTCTCCCCATACTTGGCCACTTCTTCAGGGGAGAAAGCCTTGAGCATCTCCGTCTGGAAGATAAACGGGACGTCCCAAGCTCCATTCTTGGCATCCGCGCCGAATAGAAATGCAATGTTAGCATCCGGTCGCTTCTTAAAAACCCGGGCCATGGCAATTGCGGTCAGATCCAGACGCTTCCTGGGTTGGTTGCGGTTCAAGTTCAGCACCACCATCGGCGCTTCCACCGGCTTGGGTGGTAGATTCAAGGGTTTGAAGAGGTCGGAGTCAAATGCATGCATCAATGTACTGACGGGCTTCGTCACCCCCTGTCGAAGCAGGTCCTTGCGCCAGTACTCTGTGAAGGTGATGATGTGGTCTGCGACGCCATTGATCACATTCAGAAGATCGATTCGCTGTGTCGGGTACACCTGATCCAGGTATACGATCACCTTCGTGGAAGGTTGAAGGATCTGAGGTTCGCGTTTGAGCTCGATCAGAAAGTTGGTAACCACCTGAGCATCGTTGAATATAACAATCACGTCTGGTTTGCTGAGGCGAACGAACTCGCGGAAGTTTGCAAACCCAAAGCCTTGCAGCGAGGGCACTTCTGCCTTTGCAGCATCATACACTATGACCGAGGGGGGGATGTTGTGCATCCTCTTGTTAACGTCCTCTTGGCTGAATCTCTGGAATCCATACTGAACTACCTCGATGTCTTCCTTCGTTCCCAGGTGCTTGAGCAGGTTGTAAGAGACCTTACTGTAACCAGTATTTTGATCTGGATGCGTCGAAACGAGGAGAAGTCTCGTTTTCGAGCGGGCAGTAGCTTCGGAAATGGGGTCGAGGACAGCCATACGACAGCCTTTGTATCGTACGCTCCTTAAAGTTATCAGTCGTTTGAACGCGGAGCCACGTCCAAATATTTTCAGTGTGAGAAGATAACAGCATCCATGTACAACTCCCGTGGAACATCTGGAACCGGATATTGGAGGCACCTCTATGCACAAGACCTGACTATCAGCGGGACACCTCTGGCCCCAATAGCAACATCAGCCAGCGCCACCGACCTGCGCTACGGGATTGTTTCAGTCAGTCTCCTCCCTCAGATTCCCACGTCAAAACTGTCTGGCAACTATGTAATTGGTGCGTTTCACTGCGCCGTATCTCCCGACAGCAACGATGCCTTTGATCTCGGCGGTCCCACCAGCAACTGGCGAAATGCCTACGTCAAAGCGCTCCGTATGGGCGGCGATGCCACCATCGTTGCAGGCTCTCCAGCGGGGCCAGTGTTGCTGTTCTCGGAAGCCGATCGGACCGTGAGCCTGAGCAATGCAAGCCTGAGTATTGCAGGTGCCGTGTATGCCTCGGGTGCCACACTGAGCGCCCCTCTCGACCTGGGTTCCAACTCCTTGCACACAACCGGTTCGATCGGCTCGGGGTCCAACCGGGCGGCGGCTGTGTATTCCACGAGTACAGACGCGACCAGTGTCTCAATCGGCAGCAACCTCATACTGGGCCCAGCTGTGACTACCTCGATCGGAGCAAGCATGACCCCCAGCAGCAACTTTACGGTCGACCTGGGAGCAGCCTCTAATGGATGGAGGACTATCTATGCAAGCAACGCAAGCCTGGCTGGGATGCTAACGGCAAACGGAGTAACCCTGACGGCTCCCATGAGCGTCGGGTCCAATGGCATAAATACCACAGGCTCTATATCGTCTTCCAACGAACCCTCGTCCGCCGTTTACACCAATCTTCTCGTGGCATCCTCCGCGAACATTCACAACGGTTTTTCGTTGCTCCCCACATCCGTCACGAGCATAGGGACAGATCTAGTCCCAGATTCCAACGGCATTCGCACTCTCGGTGCTAGTAACATAGTTTGGAGTACCATATATGCCTCGAATGCTTCTCTCACCGGCACCTTGACTGCGAACGGAGCCACCCTATCGGCCCCCTTGGTCATGGGCAGTAACTCGGTGTCACTCACAGGTTCCGTAGCCTCTTTGTCAAACAGAGCGACAGCTGTTTTCTCACAGAGCAACGACGCCAATTTCGTGAGCGTAAACAGCAACTTTACGGTTCAGACCGG